ATTCGTTGATCACCTTCATTGGTGGCTGTCCGAGTGGGTTGGGTGTGGAGGATGGCCATACAATTGCCGATAAGACGCGACACTATAAGATGTGTCAACCGGTGCACAAGTTGCCCGTATGCAAGTGAGTAACGGTGTGAAGTTTTTCGTGGTGATGGAGTTGTGTATGTATATATATATGTATGTATTTATTTGTGTGAATTTGTTTTAGACATTTCCGCGATTACACGTGGACGCTTACCACTTCAGCTGAACTAAATGTGACTGAACAAACTGTACATTGTCGTTGCCCAAAGAATTCGGTGACATATCTGACGAAACGAGAGCCGGCTACATATGGCGCGAGCGGTTATACCTACCTCTTTGCTTGTTCACCCATAACAGTAAGTGTTAAAAGAAGTACAGTTATGTGGATTTTAACTTATTTTAATTAATTTAATTTTACCTTATTTCATTTCAATTCACTTAGCTTCACTTGAAATCATTAAGTTTCATTTATCTTTATTTAGCTCATTTCAATTCTAGTAATCTTCTCTATTTACAATCTTATTTTATTTCTCTTTTCATTCAACTTATTTCAGCATAGTTTTTTTCAATTCACTTAATTTCAATATTTTATTCTCGCTTCATATTCTCACTTCCTACTCTCAATTGTTTTCACCTCATTTCATTTTATTGCATTATTTTCACCTCACTTCATATTACTTTACCTAATCTTCTGACTTCATATTGTGGCTATTCACACTTGCCTAGTTATCAGGTTATCTGGTTAAAAAATATTCTGCAGTGTATTTTATTTTGTAAACTGAATAAAGAATATAACCAGATAACCTGATAACCCACTAGTCTGGTTATTCACGCCAGCCTGGTTATCAGGTTATCTGGTTAAAAAATAATTTTTCTGTAGTGAGATTTATTGTTGTACAAAAACAAAATACACAACAGAAAATTATTTTATTGCTGTACAACAACAAAATACACTACAGAAAAAATATTTTTAACCAGATAATCACGCAAGTGTAAACAACAACAATATTACATCAATTCATTTCACTTTTCATTGAACTTATTACATTTAAATTTTTAATTTTACTTTATTCCTATTCTACACCTCAAATTTCGCTCTCCATCAAATTTATTTTATCCTAATTTTTTTCATTTTCGTTACTTTCATAACTTCATTTCATCTCACTTCATCTTTTTCATTCTCAATCTCACTTCATTTCATTTCAAATTTCCTCACTCACTTCGTTTTACTTTAATTTGCTTTCCATTCATTTCATTCAGATCTATTACATTTCATTTCACCTAATTTTACTTAGTTTTCAACTTTTTTCTCTTTCAGTCCTTTTCTGTATTCCTTTTACTTTCATTTACTTTTTTGGCATTTATTCATCTGTTCTCACATTTTCGTGAATATCATTTTGCTTTTCTTTCCGATCGTTTGCTTCATTATTCTATACTTTAATATGTTGTTTTCACTTTTCTTTTCATTTTATTTACACTCCATTTAAGTTCCTTCTTTTGGATATTTTTTTTTGTTTTTTTTCTAGCCTCTTCTATTCGATCCGAAAGTATGCCTTCCTATCCCCTCCTATTATATTCTTTCCTGCCCCATCTTATTATATTCTATTCTATCCTGTTCTATTCTGTTCTATCCTATCCCGTCCAATCCTATCCTACCCTAGCCTATCCTCTCTTATTCTATCCTATTCTATACTTACCCGTTTAATACTGTCCTATTTTATACTACCCTGTGCTGTTCTATCTCTTTCTATCCTATCCTATCCCATCTCATCCTATCCTATCCTATTTTATACTATCCCATTTCGTACTGTTCCATTTTATACTCTCTTATCTTCTATTTCTTTTGACATGCATTTGAAAGAGAGTATTATGTTACGGCCAACCTTCATAGCGAAAACAGAACAGCAATATACATATTTGAGGCCTTCCAAAAAGAGATCTAGTTCAAGTATTGTGTAGGTTTCTGGAACTACAGCAATGAATTTTGATGAGTAGTTCCGTTAGGCCAGGCTTATAAAGTGTTTCTGGATTTTGTATAGAAACCAACGAAATCCCATTTCCAAAATATTTAGCCAGAGCCAAGTCTCTTGCATTCGCAAACAATCTTGCTTTGATACTTAGTTAATAATTTCAATTTGTACGTACAACAATATAAACTACATATATCATTCAACTCATTCTTCTCTTCCAGCGCATACGATGTCAACGCAAGCAGCCGTGTAAATTATTTACGGTACGCAAACGGCAGGAATTCCTTGACGAAGTCAACATTAATGCGCTCTGTCAGTGCCCGAAAGGCCATCACTGCCCCAGCCATCACACACAATCGGGTGTTATAGCTGGCGAAAGCTTCTTAGAGGATAATATACAGACCTATTCGGGTTACTGCATGGCCAACGATTGATGGTCTGCAGCTCTGGGCTTGGGACGAAAAAGACGATATCAACGAAATAAAAAATTTAAAAAACACAAAAGGCACAACAGGCAACATGGGCAGACGATGCCGCCGCTGCTGCAACGGGGCAAGTTGAAAGCGCAAAAACAGCTGGCCACATTCCAACTACAATTAAGTGTGGATGTTACAGTGAAAGCAAAGAAAATAAGGGTACAAAACAAAAAAAAAGAAAACAATATTAGAAACTAAACAAAAAAAAATGCAGATAAATATATAGTGCGTCGTGTTGCAAGCAGCCGCAAAAACAGAAACACAAATAGTCAAAGAAGGAGAAATGTAAATGCTAAAGCAAACAAATAGTTGACTGAGCCAATTGAGTCTCGTCTTTTTTTTAATAATTTAACTAAGTAATGAAAAAATTAGTGGTACGAAAAAACTTTGTTGCTTACTTAACGTAACTAAGGTAGAGTGTAACTAACTTATATGCTACTTATAAAAAATAAAAGTTATTATATTTTATTGAAGTAAATTATTTTATTTGTAATCTACTACTAAAAAGAGTCGATAAATACATAGTATACACATATCTAGAAATTAGAGAAAAACCTAAGCTTCGTGCTGCGTGTATTTAATGATTTTTAAGAGCGTCGGTCCTTGTAAATTGTATATATTTTTTATCAAAAAAAAAAAAACAAAAAAAACTTTATACATATTTAAAAAAAAAAATTATTTAACTAAATACGCAGCATAAAACAAGAGAATTACTCAAGAGTGCCAACTATAGGGGCCAGTCTGAATAATTTAGTTTATAAAAATCAGGTACTCAGTAACAGATTAAGTGACAAATCCTTAGAAAAACACATAAAGACAAACTGAATTGTACCTGAAAGCCATGANTTCAAATACTTAGTATAAGCTACACTTCAGAAAGATAAAATTAATCACAGTAATAATAATTAAAAAAAAAAAAAACATTGAAAACGTCTCGAACCATAAACAAAAATTAAATAATTTTTGTTGAAAAAGAAATAAAAAAATAGGTTAACAGAGATTTAGAAATTCTCGAAAATAATGCATGCGGAAAATTCATAAAAACGAAAATTTGTGGATCAAAAAAAGAAATTAATAAAACCTTAAACCTTAAATAATTAGGAACAAAAAACTAATAATGAATAAAAACAACAAAATATAATAAGCCCACTCGACAGAAAATAAGGCAGATAAAACAAAAACGTGTCAAGCTAAAGAATAGCATAAAAAATATAATTTAAAATATCTGTAAATGCACAAAATATTCTCTCATACAGTTGATAATTCCAGTTTAAATTGGTTTTCTTTATAAAGCATATTTAGTATCCAACTCTCAAGAAAAATAAAAATTTATATAAAAATGCTCAAGAAATTAACAAGTAATTTTTCGCCAAAAATCAAAACCGACTTCAATTGTCATATAATTTCTTTATGATCCAATGATCGGATCGAAACCAAATTAGAATGGGACCACTTTTGAAGTAGCACATTTTCGATAAAAAAATTATCAAAATCAGTTTAATTGGTTCAAAGTTATCCGGTAACATACATATGTACATACAAAAAAAAATATTTAGAGGAATTGATACCTCCTCTTTTTTCTTGAAGTCGTCAAAAAGAAAATTTCTTCAATAAGTTTTTTGGGCTCAAGAAACAAAATTTACTGAAATGCCAATGTATTTTTTAAAGCAACAGAAATAATGAAATTTTTTATTTTATGATTTTGCTTGAGAACTGGAAACTAAGCTTAATGTTGAAGGGGTTAAACATAATAGAAAAAAATATATAAAAATTATTTATGAAAAACCACAAAACAAAAATAACAAAATAAATAAAACCAGATCATATAATAATATAATTTCAAACAATAAAAATGTAAAAAATTAAATTGTAAAGTAAAATGATGAAAAACTTAATCAAAAGTTAAAAAATAAATTAATTAACAAAATAAAAATAAGGTAAAAATGAAATAAAAATAAAAATTAAATAATGAAATAAATAGCGAAATAAAATGAACTCAAACCCATTACAGTAAAATAGAATAGTAAAAAAATAATAATTCAATTACAAAAAAAGAATTAAATAAAGAATCTAACTAAAACATGTAATATGATACCGTAAAAAAATTTAATGAAAAAACAAAATAATATATATATATATAAATAATAATAATTTACAATAACCATACAAAATATAAAATTGAATGAAATAACATAACCAAAAATAAAATATAACAAAACAAATAAAATAATTTAATATCATGTAAAATAAAATGAAATGCAATTAAACAATTGGAAAATATCATAAATCAAAATAAAAAAGCAAAATCAAAAAATTTCATAAAATAATTAAAAAATAAATTCAAAATATGTTCTGAAAAAAGAATTAGGCAGAAATGTTTTAATCATAAAATTCGTGCTCCTTTTTCTCGTTCACATTTCAAATTAATTCAAATAAAGTAAAATAAATATTAAAGTAAAATAATATGAATGTAATTGAAAAGTAGAATTATGTAAGATTTTAAAAAGTTAAAAATAAGTAATAAACAATCAAAATGATAACGAAAAAAAATATTTATTAATTTTTTTTTATTAAATTTATTAAAATAAAGCAAAACAAAATAATATCAAAACCAGTAGAGTAAAGAAATAATAAAAAATATAATCTAGTTTGATTTAAAAAATGAAATAAAAAACTAAATAAAACGGAATAAAATATGTATATAACATTAAGAAATTTGAGGAAAAAATAAGATGAAATATAACAATATAAATTAACACAAAATAATTTAAAGTAAGCATACAAAATGAAAAATTAAGTGAAACAACATAAACCAAAATAAATATATAAAATAACTGTAAAGAAAATAAGGAAAATAAAATAAAATAAAATGCAATGCAATTATGCAATTGAAAATAAGATAACGTAAAACACAATAAAAAATAGCAAAATAAAAAAAATAATAATAAAAAAAAAAATTAATTAAAAATACGTTATGAAATAAAATTAAACAGAAATGTTTTAATCATAAAATTCGTGCACTTTTTTGTTATTTACATTTGAAATAAGTAAAATAAAATAAAATGAAACCCAAAAGTAAATAAAATAAGTGCAAACATACATAAAATAAAGCTTGATAAAATTTAAATACATAAAATCAAAAATTTGTATTGTATGAAATAAAACCAATAAAAATAATATAAAATGAATTAAAATACAATAAAGTAAAATGAAAAAAAAAATATTAAGTTAAATCCAATAAAAAGCAATACAATGAAAAAATTAAAAATTACAAAAACAAAATTTAATTTGTGAAATAAGTTTAAAAAAAAATCAGAAATCTTTTAATCACAAAAAACGTGTCCTTGTTTTTCTTTTTTAAGCGAGTATGTATTAAAAATGCTAGTTTTGTTCTAAAAAAAAAAATCATCAAACTATTCACCTTAATTAACTAAGTAAAAAATACTTGTGCAATTACAAAGTTCATTAAATTTTTCTAATATTTCGAATCAAAAACGGATAACATCAAGTATGCCTATTCTGCCTGCATACACAATTTACTATAGCCCTTTAGCATATAGTTATTTATTAAAAAAAAAAAACCGAAATCAAGAAATATAAAAAATTAAAACTAAAAAAAAAATTATAAAAAAAACGGTATAAGCTAAGTTTACCCCAAAATGCTTCCACATGTCGCCTTTAAGACACAAAAAAATCTAAGCCAGCAAAATACATATACATACATACAGCGGCTGCCATAAATAAGTAAACAGACTAATATTTTGAACTCAAGTCCATATTTTTTCAAGTTTTATTTAGATAAACATAAAAGTCACGTATATATTTGAAAATACGGGATTTTAGCTACAATAAGAGCTGCATAACTTAAAATTAAAAAGTTGCTTCCACTAACTAATGGCGGTTTGAATAAAAAATACAAGAATTCAGTGTGTGAAAAATAAGTAAACACTTAAGTTAATGGCCGCAGTGACCGCCATTATTTCGCGACATTCTTGCTAAACGAGTCGGCATGGAAAGTACATATTTTCTACACATTTCTGGGGTAAAAGACGGCCAGATCTCCAAAATTAAATCCTTCAGTTCAGCCAGATTTCGAGGACCCCTTTCACTTACTTGAGCTTTCAGCCACGCCCACGCGTTTTCAATTGGTGACAGGTCAGGGCTTTGCGGAGGCCACTCCAAAGCATTAACATTAGCATCAGCTATATATTTTGTAACAATTTTGGCCTTGTGAATAGGTGCGTTGTCCTGTTGTAGAACGAAATCCTCTCCTATTAGACGCTTACCTTCAGGAATAATCACGTCTTTCAGCAAGTT